AATATAAAATAACTCCTCCCCTGGCTCGAATACATGCGAAGATCCTCCTGGGCATGCTGAGGATCAAGTTATCCAGCATTTCCTGGGGTAACCTATCCCATTCTTTAATAGCGGCTTCCCTGAGCTCTGGAACTGTCTGGGGACGTGGCTCACGGTTCCATACTGCTCGTTTAAGAGCATCCCACGCGTGCTCTATTGGGTTTAAGTCGGGCGAGCCGGCAGGCCAGTCTAATCGTGTGATATCGTATTCTTGAAGAGCAGCATTGACTCGTTGAGCTCGATGTGCGGGCGCATTATCATCGACCAGTACAAATTGGTGCCCATGGTTTACTCGGAATGGTCTGACGATATCATCAATAGCAACTGCTTTGTACATGTCTGCTGTCATGAAGCCCCGATACGGGATCAAAGGCGTTCTAGCTCCAATCATAATGCCACCCCAAAAGGACACCGATTTTCCGCCTTGCTGAACTGTTCCAGTGGCAGTTCTTTGTCTTTCACGGTCGCCTGGTCTTCTCCAGACACGGACACGTCGGTTATCTGGATGAGTGCTGATTCGGGATTCGTCAACGAAGAGACAGTTTTGCCAAATGTTTTCGTCCTCACCTTCTTCATTTTGCCGAAGTCTAGCCCACTGCAATCTTCGTTGTTGACGTTGCCGGGAATTGAGCGGAGCTCGCCAAGACCTCCGTGCTCGTAATCCAGCCTGGTGCAAGCAATTGCGAACGGTCTGCGTGCTAACTTCAAGCCTAGAGGCGGCCCTGACTTCTGCTTTTATTTTAGTGGCGTTGATTGTTGGATCACGGGCTGCCAGCAATCTAATATAGCGCTTTTGGGCAGCTGTCAAAACAGTTGGGCGACCGCTGCGGGGTCGGTCAGCTAAATTCCCCATTCCGTGATACCTCTGCAACGTAGCCACGACACAGGATTGGGATATAGCAAGTCTGCGTGCTATTACTCTCGTGGTGTATCCTTCTTCCCTCAAAGTTACTATTCTAGCTCGTAAAACCTCTGATAATCCTCTTGGCATTTTTTCAATCACAACTTTCCGCGAAAAATATCTTGAATCGCTTATAATTGACTAAATCAGATTTCTGAATGAGCGTAAGCTAGGACTGAAAGCCTTTTTATATGAAAAAACAATTGAACGGGGTCATTGTTTTATGTT